CTGCTGGACCTTACAAAGAGGTTTATTGATGGTCATTGTTACAAGAATGTCAAATAGAAAAGACAAATGTTTTTGTTTTTAAACGAAGCCGGTATCTGTTTCTTCGATTCCCTCAGGGCAAAAAGAGCTCTTCAAAAGCTTCTGTGGTGGAAATTGGGGAAGGCAGGAGCTACTCTTGGGAGCTGAATGATGGCTGCTCACCAGGAGGCTTCTGCTTTTTCTCTGTGCTCCTCAGGGCGAGGTGATTTCTATTTTAAAAAGCAGCCATATTAACAGTTTCTTAGGCTGCCTACACACCATACATTTAAGGCACAGTTAAAGCACAACCCCCTCAAAGAACCGTGGGAACTGTAGTTTAGGGGGTGCTGGGAATTGTAGATCTGTGAGGGGTTCCCAAGATCCTTTGAGGAGGGCTGTAAAGACATTTATCCTGTTTAAACATCTTAAATAACATGGCTTAAATAACCCATAATTAAGAGTGGACTGTTGAAGAGCTTATGGAATCAATTCAGCAAAAATAAAGCAATATGTGTATTAAAAATACTTCAAAGTTTCTGACCCTGATGGTGTTAAACTATGGTCACCATGAAGTGTGTGTTTGATATTTTGAAACTTAATGGAAGTGGGTGAGCATAGTAGGAAATACGAAGGGAAACTTCTAGAAGAGAGCCTTCCTCAACATGGCGCCGTTTGGACGTTGTTGGACTCCAACCCCCCTCAGTCCCAGCCAGCATGGGAATGATAGTTCGACAACATCTGAAGGGTGTCATGTTGGGGAAGGCTGGCCTAGAATCACGGACAGGAATTGAGTAAAACCGGCAGCGAAGCCAGGGAAAGAGAGAGGTCATGTGGCGTTTTATTGTCCTGTTTCTCTGAAGTCACGGCTGTAAAATGGTGGCAGCCATCTTGGATGGGGCGGAAGGGCCTTCAGCCCGAGAGATGAAATTAATTCAAAAATTAAGGGTGGAGGGCTAGATGAGGATTGTAGAGAAGCGGGGAGTGAGTTGAGGGCCAGTCCTGGAAAACATTTACAGAGAAGCCTTTTCTCTTCTGCGCATACGGAAAGCGACTCATTGAGAGAACGAAGGGTTGAGAAATTTCTTCAGGAATTCCTTCCCGCCCCCAACACAAATCAGTGTGCAATTCTGCTAGTCACATACTGTTAAGAAATAATGCGACTCATATTATTTCTTAACAGTGTGGCACAATGACACGTATGTTGTGACAAGACAGAGGGAGAGATTTGTGTCACTGTCAGCTGAAATATTGAAATTCTACAAGAGGCTTGCAGTTTTGGGGACCAAAGTTGAAGAGAAATTGACATAAAATAACACCCCAGTGTCATTTGACTCCTTGAGTCAAATGTGTAATACCTTTAGTGATAATTGTTGCTTTTTTGGGGGGGGGGAGTTTTGGAAGGATTTTATCTTACATCTAAGAAAATGTATGAGAGATTGGAGAGCCTTGGCAAAATGGCGCAAATCTGATTAACCTGCTCCTGTATCTTCAGAATGACATAAAACTTGAAATCCCTGAAGGATATGCTGGGTTTCTGTGGCATTTAGAAACACAATAAGCAGAGTCCTAGTATGTTAACATATTAGAATCTGTACGAGGTCCGTCATTAGAAAGATATTTTCTTGGTGATACGTCTTGATATGTTGCCATGGTCAAAAATGATGAAATGGTTACGGACTTCAAACCAGTTTGGGACGATATATCACCCAGCCCTATTGGATATATATAGCCACAGTACAAGTATGTGGAAGGAAGTCTTCTACAAAGTTATTTGGGAATTAGCTTTATCTCATGGTTTGCCCTGAAGTTGCAGGTTTATGATTTTATATCGTAACCCTCCGAAAAAGTAGGTTGAATGACTCCCAGCTGCTTAAATCTCTTTACTGAAAAGAGACGTTGGCTCTTAAACCATTGCTTTTGACTAACCCGTCTGCTGTCTGATGCAGAGACATCACCTTGCCAACAAAGGTCCATATAGTTAAAGCCATGGTTTTCCCAGTAGTGATGTATGGAAGTGAGAGCTGGACCTTCAAGAAGGTTGATCGCCGAAGAATTGATGCTTTTAAATTATGGTGCTGGAGGAGACTCTTGAGAGTCCCATGGACTGCAAGAAGATCAAACCTCTCCATTCTGAAGGAAATCAGCCCTGAGTGCTCACAGGAAGGGCAGATCCTGAAGCTGAGGCTCCAGTACTTTGGCCACCTCATGAGAAGAGAAGACTCCCTGGTAAAGACCCTGATGTTGGGAAAGATGGAGGGCACAAGGAGAAGGGGACGACAGAGGATGAGATGGTTGGCAGTGTTCTTGAAGCTACCAACATGAGTTTGACCAAACTGCGGGAGGCAGTGGAAGACAGGAGTGCCTGGCATGCTCTGGTCCATGGGGTCACAAAGAGTCAGACACGACTAAACAACAACAACAACCCGTCTGCCCACCTGCTACACTGCAAGGAACAGCATTTATTGTTTTAATAGCATTTTTTAGAAGGCAAAGTACTCTATTATTTTTCTCTCTAAGCCCAATGAGATATGGTCACAAGTTCCTGTTTTCTAATCTCCATCCAGAGGTGTTCATCCAGTCCTGACCACTACAAATGTAGCTTTACTCTGGTGCAGGTTTGTCAGCCCTTTGCCTGGACAGCTCTTGGCAATAGAGAAGTGTCTTCAGGTGACACAGTTTTGAAAACTGCTGGGGTAGTGGCCCACTAGCCAATTAAAATATTATTTATAACTGGCCACTAATATTTGGAGAAGGGGCAGTTCAGAGGCAAAGGAGGAATGGGGATCCCATTTTGACTACAGGAGTTCCTGTTTAATAATAAAAAAGCATTGAGCCACAGTAAGATGAGAAGTGGATACAGTGATCGTAGCGTTTATTATGGCATCTTCCATCAAGACAGCTGCAGGCGATTAAGGAGGAATGGTGTACCATTCTGATCTGGTTGCTGTGTGCTGGAAATGGGACTGCAGAATTGCTTTCCCTCCATCCCAGGGAATTAACGCTGAATAGTTTGGGTGCCCTTTAAATTGGCCCAGGAGGGAGCCTGGCCGAAGGGAAAGGAAGGAATATAATTGCTCGTTTTCAAATGGCAAATCTAATTTGAACATGTTAATAGTGCTGCGAGTAAATAAACACACGTGGCAAAAGGCATACGGCTCTTGTCACTCTCTCACTCGCTGCTTTCCAGAGCTGTCAGTAGCAAGGGGGCACATGTAGAAGGTTATGTTGTGTGTGTGGGGGGGGTGTACCTAGGTCATCTCTCAGATACTAGAGTTCTTAATAGGAGTGGATAAAAACAGCTTTAAAGTCAGTGCAACCACTCTCAGTCCTGTGTCCAGAATAAAAATTAGCACAATAAATGAATAGTTTTCAAGACCTGAGGTTGTGCAAATGATATAAAGGTGGGCTGGAAGCGTTTTGGGGTGGATAGGGGAATACAGCAGCAGAAAGTTCAAGAGGGAGAGAAATATTTTGATGGTTGGGATGAGAAACATGAAGGACTGTTGCTAGGGGTTTTCTGACTTAAGTTTCTGGACTTTGTGTTTGCTTCAGTCCTGAGAGCTAGGAACCCCACTCAGGTTCTGAGGACGCCAAATCCTATGTTAGTTTGCACTGGGAGATTTGCGCATTGCATTTCCTCTGTGTTGGTCTCCTTTGCTAAAGTGCCTTGATGGGCGACCATCTGGGAAGTATATAAAAGTCAGGAATGGTTAGCTTCAGCAGCAAAACTGTTGTCAAGTCAGCTTGGCCTTGTAAAGGGTGAGAGAGAAGACTTTGGGAAGCTTTGCTATCCCCTTTCAAAAAACTGTTCCAAAAAACTGTTCCTTGCCTCACAACAGCTTCCTCATTGTCTCCTCATTGTAACCTTTCACTCTTCTTGCTATTAGCTTTGTGGTTTTGGTATGCTGTGTCTGTAGTGATACCTTCAAGCTTGTTCTGCCTCTCTTGAGGAATGTTACAATTTAAATTCCATAGCAGCTCAGCCATCCTAGGAATTGCAGCTATGCCTTTATTAACGTTTTTCTTAAGGCAGCCTGGCGATCTGCCTTAAGTTTGGTCTGGAAAATCCATGGTGTGCCATGGTCGCTGCCAAAGTGAGAATTCACATGTGTGTCTTGTTGCTTTTTAAAAAATATATACTTTGGAGAAAGTCATCCCTAGGAAGTCTCTTTGTTTGCTCTGCAACCTAATAGTTGGAGGGGGGATATGAATGGATGTAGTGGGGAGCAAGTGAGATACGGAGCCTTGCATTTAAATCAGGCATGGGCAAATTTGGCCCTCCAGATGTTTTGGGACTACAACTCCCATCATCTCTAGGTAACAGGACCAGTGGTCAGGGATGATGGGAATTGTAGTCCCAAAACATCTGGAGGGCCGAATTTGCCCATGCTTGATTTAAATTCTGGCCTGGTAGCCATAGCTGAAAAAGCAATTGCATGCTGACATTTGAGCTGGCCACTGGAGGACAAATGGAGTGCCCGTCAGAGAAGTGCAACTGGCTTCTACAAGAGGCGTGGAGTTACTGGCAGGCTAGTAATTTATCTTTCTTTTTATTTTTAAGGCAGGACTATAGGATTTCTGTAAGTTTGTGGGCAGAATATGCAATTTGAGTATGCCAACAGTGTTCAGAAGCAGCACTATTTATCAATGTATTTATGCAAAGAAAACCAGTGTGGCTTATTGGCTTAAGAGTGTTGGACCAATACCTGGAAGGGCAGGGTTCTAATCACCACTTCCTCATGAAGACCTCAGCCTGACCTACCTCACAGGGTTGTTGTGAGGGTAAATTGCAGGCAGGGAGAAGCACATGCACCACTTTGAGCTCCTTGGAAGAAAGAAGGGCCCATAAATGAAATAAATAAATAGAATTCAAAAACGTAGTTGTCAATATTTCAGACCTCTCCTCGCAAAGAGATGCTACTCGGCAGCATCCTTAGCAACTTCTTCCTAACTTTGTTATTTTTCTGTGTTTTCTCTGCCAGGCAGTGGAGCAACAGCCGTGGTGCAAGCAGCCTATTGTAGTCCGAAGAAAGAAAAGGTGGCAATCAAGCGGATCAACCTTGAGAAATGCCAGACCAGCATGGATGAGCTTCTGGTACAAAAATCCCATCCATCTTCTTCCACAATTCATTTTAGGGTCTATAAATCACCGTTGCTCTATGTTGGCGGAGGAGTTCCCCCCCCCTGTGCAGGCAATTTGTTAGACTTTCTGTGACTGTGCTGGGTTTTTGTGGTTGTTTTTTGTTTTAAGGAAAAAGTTGAAGACCTCATGACTGTAAGCAACATTTGAAAAAGTGTTAAAATCTTGTGGTTGCTGTCTCTCTCTCTGTGTGTGCAGGTTTCCTGGATTTGTGGGTAGGATTTCACCCTTGGAATGCATAGGAGAAAGCTGTACAATTACGGGAAACAAAAAAATGGGGGGGGGAGACTGGACGATCAGTGGTAGGAAACTATTTTCACATTGAGGGCTGCTTTCCATCATGAGCAGCCTTATGTTGGCTGTGTGGCATGGGGTGAGTGGCCAGAGGCAAACACTGGCATGGCCTCGGCCCAGTATACCTGAAGGAGCGTCTCCACCCCCATCGTTCTGCCCAGACACTGAGGGCCAGCGCCGAGGGCCTTCTGGCGGTTCCCTCGCTGCGAGAAGCCAAGTTACAGGGAACCAGGCAGAGGGCCTTCTCGGTAGTGGCGCCCGTCCTGTGGAACGCCCTCCCACCAGATGTCAAAGAGAAAAATAACTACCGAACTTTTAGAAGACATCTGAAGGCAGCCCTGTTTAGGGAAGTTTTTAATGTTTAATAGGTTATTGTATTTTAGTGTTTTGTTGGAAGCTGCCCAGAGTGGCTGGGGAAACCCAGCCAGATGGGCGGGGTATAAATAATAAAACATTATTATTATTATTATTATTATTATTATTATTATTATTATTATTATTATCTCAGTGGATGTGGCTCTTACATCCAAACTAGCGCTGGGCGATACCAGGTTTTCAGCATCAAAATAGAGTCATACCTTGGTTCTCGAATGTAATCTGTTCCGGAAGTCTGTTCGACTTCTGAAACATTTGAAAACCAAGGCGTGGCTTCTGATTGGCGCAGGCAACCCGGAACCAATAGCCGACAGCCACATTGGCGTTTGGCTTCCGAAAACATTCGAAAACCGGAACACTTCCCGGTTTTCCGCATTCGGGAGCCAAAATGTATGAGTACCAAGGCCTCTGAGAACCAAGGTACGACTGTATATCATCAGCTAAACATCGCATTACACTGATATATCACAAAGTCTGAAATAAAGATGAAACTATACAGAGGTGAACAGGAGCGCTGCGCGATATCTGGTTTTCAACATTGTGATATATCACCAGCTAAACATTAGAATATACTGATCTGTCACAATGTCTGAAATAAGGATGGAGCTATGTAGAGGTGTTGGCCGGCTTTACAGTTTTCCCCACATTGTGATTTTTGCATAGCACAGACACGCAAACCATGATTTGCCATATATTTCCCGGACAAAAAATTATGAAACTGCTATCATGATATGGCCTTCAAACCGGTTTCGGACAATATATAGATATGCCGCCCAACCTTAATCCTAGCCACAGAAAAGAGTTCTGCACCCCTACCCTATCTTAGCAAGTAAGGAATATTATCATAATTCAAGGGACGTGGGTGGCGCTGTGGGTTAAACCACAGAGCCTAGGACTTGCCGATCAGAAGGTCGGAGGTTCGAATCCCCGTGATGGGGTGAGCTCCCGTTGCTCAGTCCCTGCTCCTGCCAACCTAGCAGTTCAAAAGCACGTCAGAGTACAAGTAGATAAATAGGTGCCACTCCGGTGGGAAGCTAAACGGCGTTTCCGTGCGCTGCTCTGGTTCGCCAGAAGCGGCTTCGTCATGCTGGCCACATGACCCGGAAGCTGTACGCTGGCTCCCTCGGCCAATAAAGCGAGACGAGCGCCACAACCCCAGAGTCGGTCACAACTGGACCTAATGGTCAGGGGTCCCCATTACCCTTTAAGGACACATTGCTGCCAGGAAAAAGCACTTGAGAGCGTGGAGCAGGGCCTATAAAAGGTTGCAAGATCAAATGGAGGGGCCTGGAGGGACACATTCCTTCCCCCAGACTGTGAAGTGTTTCCTGCACTGCCTCTTGCTCTCGGGGAGTCAGACCACTCAGTTTTGTGGGCTTTAGTTCCACTGCAACTGTGAAGTAAGTTGTTACGGGTCAGATCTGGTTCAGGTGTATACAGGTTTGGGAAGTGATTCGATCCCTTAAAGATGAATCACATTTGCGGTACCCGTAAGGGGGGCGCCCACGATGCCACCGATGGAGAGGCTGCTGAGACCAGCTTGCCCAGAGCCACGCCGCCCCCACCCAGCCACCCAAAACCTAGAGGCCGAGCCTGTGTGTCTGAATGCCTTTTGCATCCGTTGTACCATTCGGCCCCATCCCCTCCTCTCTTTAGTCCCTTCCTGCTAAAGCAGTCACACATACTGTTGGAACTTGGGCACTTGCCAGCTCTGGGCTCAAAGAACCATTCAGAAAGCTCTGCAGCAGAAAACACAGATAAAACTCCTAATTAAATAATTTAATCTCCAGCTGACCCAGTCCTCCACAACAGCCCCCTATTTCATTGGCTAATGAATGGGGCAGCAATGAATTGCTTCATTTTCTTCTCGAGAGGTCCCAATTAGGTGACCTGATGGGCAGTCGCGCTTTGTTTACCGGGCTTTTCCTTGGGGGAAGGAGCCACGTGCTTTTCTTCCCCTAGTGACTTAAACATAACAAACAAACTTTTAATATTGCATCCGAGCTGCGCCCTGTCAGGATCAGGAAGATGGGAATTTTCCACCTTCAGTAGTTTCTTGGGTCTCTTCTCTCAGCCAGCCAGTCCTCCTCCTGATAGAATCATAGAATCATAGAGTTGGAAGAGACCACAAGGGCCATCGAGTCCAACCCCCTGCCAAGCAGGAAACACCATCAGAGCACTCCTGACATATGGTTGTCAAGCCTCTGCTTAAAGACCTCCAAAGTAGGAGACTCCACCACACTCCTTGGCAGCAAATTCCACTGTCGAACAGCTCTTACTGTCAGGAAGTTCTTCCTAATGTTTAGGTGGAATCTTCTTTCTTGTAGTTTGGATCCATTGCTCCGTGTCCGCTTCTCTGGAGCAGCAGAAAACAACCTTTCTCCCTCCTCTATGTGACATCCTTTTATATATTTGAACATGGCTATCATATCACCCCTTAACCTCCTCTTCTCCAGGCTAAACATGCCCAGCTCCCTTAGCCGTTCCTCATAAGGCATCGTTTCCAGGCCTTTGACCATTTTGGTTGCCCTCCTCTGGACACGTTCCAGTTTGTCAGTGTCCTTCTTGAACTGTGGTGCCCAGAACTGGACACAGTACTCCAGGTGAGGTCTGACCAGAGCAGAATACAGTGGCACTATTACTTCCCTTGATCTAGATGCTATACTCCTATTGATGCAGCCCAGAATTGCATTGGCTTTTTTAGCTAATAATAATAGATGATGGTGGTGAAATAATCAAGACAAACGCAGATTTTAAAAAAGACCTGCCCAGTTTTCTTTCTCCGGCAGTGGCTGGATAGATGCCTCCAAGAAATCCAGATCTGGCAATCGTGATGGTGCAGAATGCTTGTTGCAGGACTTAGCTTGAGCTGGGCCTAAGCCTGATCCCCAGCACATGCGAACAAAAATTGGTGCCACCATCTTGAGCATGTGCAGAGTATTTTTATTCTTGAGCAACCAGACAGCTGTGATGTATTTGGCAAAGAATGGACAAAGTTTCCACACTACTACTTAACTGTTCCCGCTTTTTAGTGTTCCCATTTAACAGCCTCCCCCAAAGCCACCTTGGTTTGCTGTGAGTGTATTTAAACATATCTCTTCTAAACACACCGCTCTTGCCAGCTGGGCCAGAGAAACTGCCCTGCATGATGGAATGGTTAATTAGCCTCCAGTGTTGTGGGTTTTCCAGGAAACTTTCCTTATTATATTGGCGTAATTTGCATTGGAAATTTTGAGTTTTAATTAAAAACAACAACAATAACATTCTGATGCCCTGTGTTTAGTAAACAATGCTTAAAACTTTGAAACTGCCTTGCTTGCCTAATTTTTACTTGCAGCTGATATCCTTTCATAATTATTAATGAATTTATGGAGTGGAACATTTTCCACGGGAAAATAAAGTGCTGGAAAATTTTCCACTGCAGCATTTAATTGCCTGGTTACACTGATTAAAAATAGTTTGCTTGGAAACGTTTGCATAATTGATTGAGCAATGGATCTTAAAGTTTTTTTAAAAAAACACACACGCAGGTACTACATAACTACTACAGTTGGTCAGTGCTCTTGATTAAACACACAAGCAGGAATGATTCTTCTAACGTGGTGCGGACTTCAATTTAACTTGTGTTCAGATTTAAGCAGGTGACTCACTTCGTCACCCAAGGTTTCTTTAATCAAGTGACTGCCCTAATGCATTCTAAAGACTTTTTTTTTTTTTTTTTGGAAATCATTGCCTTGAAGAAACACCAACTTAATAGAGCAATTCAGTTAACTCTGGAGAGAGAGAGAAAGAGAGAGATGAATTGAGAGGGGTCGAATTGGTGCCTCTTCCACAGCCCAGCCATTGCGCACTCTGAGTGCTGCTCTCCTTGCTTATTCTGCTGATCGAGGGGGGAATCCAAGCCCAGTTGCCAGCTTGCAACACATTCCATCCAGTTTCTAGGCAACACAATCCTAGCTTTTGTGCCACATCAAAAGCCCTGGCCTTTCCACCTTGGTGGTGCTGGAGGGTGGGGTGGGGGTGGAGCAGAGAATAATGTATTGGGGAGGTCAAATAGACCAAAAGATGTGTGTGTGGGGGGGGGAAACCATATGCAGATTTTGTGTTGGGGTGCGTTAAGTCTTGTTGTGGGTGGAGGCGCAAGAGCTTTGATCCCCTCCATCTCCCTCCCCAGTCAACTGAGCAGCTAGGGCTCCATTGCTATTGCTGGCTGCCCCAGCAGGCATGGCTCCCTTCAGTTTTGACTTTGCTTGATCTTCTGGCACTTTGTACATTTCCCCCTAACT